CTGAGCCTACAGGGACAACATCAAATATAGCCATTTGTACCTGAGGAGTAGTAACAAGAATGGCTCCATCTGGATTGTAATCTCGCAAATTCTCTACAACAGTTATGTGCTCATCAGATGTCCCTAAAGTTAAAACAAAGTTTTCTCAGAGGTTCTTTTGAGTTCTCTGTCCAGTTGATTTTGTTTCTCCATTCCCTTCTCCCAAAAAATTCCTAACAATCAGACCATCTAGAGTTTCATTACAATTTTCCATTGAACTCGTTTCAAATTCTTATCACCCTTCTGTATTACATTGAGTCAATAATGACCATTGCTGTCGAATCTCTGTCCTTCACATTTCCATCAACATCTCTGGCTAAGCCTTAGGGGAAGGAATTTGCAACATGATTACCTTTGTTGACTTCATATGGGTGACACAATTACTAGTGACATAGAAGTTTTCAATACAGCCCACTAATCAAAAAGACTCACATAGCTCAAAATTAATAACACAAATCAAACTTAACATGGTTAAAAGCCCCCATTGGCAAGAGGCCAACCAGTTGTCCAAAATGGATTGCAACTACCCAACCCTCTCCTCACTAGCTCATGCGGATTCCTTCGATAAGTACTGAATGCACACAATCTAATAGTGATGGGGAACAAAAAAGAAATCTTATTGTGTGACAAACAACTTAGATTTCACTGCTTTATACCTGGTGGTGTGTCAATTACCAGATAGTCCAGCTCTCCCCAACACACATCTGATAGGAACTGCTTGATCATTGCTAAAAAACCAAAAAATTAACATTTAACAAAAAAATTTTAGTAATGCCTGCCTTAACAATGGATACTCCCCATAAACCATAGATAAGAAGCTATATCATCACAGATTCTCATGAAGTTTTAGAAGTTTTGAAATTATACTTCAGCCTACATATAGCTGTACAAAAGTCCATCCTGGAAGACAAAACAATCACTCAAGCAAACCATCAGTATAGTAGTACAGTAGTTTTAGCCTGACTACATTAAGCAGTTTACAATTTTTTTGAAGGAAATTTTTGCAAGTGCCCTCTTTTCGGTATCAAGACTAGACCACAACACCAGGAGCTGCATTCCCTACTCTTAACAAGAAGTACATTGGTTCTTAAGCTTTCTTTGCAAACCGGTACAGAGGAGATACACGAGACACAAGACAGGGAAAGGATGCAGGATTTTTGCAGCTTCGGAGAAAAGCATATTAACTAATTTTCTTCAAAGACAGGGTGTAGGTGATAAATTGAATTATGTTAACCCTTTAACTCACATGAGTGACCAAGACAGAATTTCTCCTTACAATATCAATTCAATATCAACCAGATGGGTGATAAGAACAAAAAAATTATCAATTTGGGGATAATTAGTTGATCCAATACTAAATTCTCTGAACTAACATTACAAGAATGTATGGTTGACAGTAAGGAGAACAACAAATTTGATCTGGGAGTTAAAGGGTTGAATAAGGTACCAAATACCATTTTTCTTTGGTCCTCTCCAAACCACTGCATCATCTCTGCTATTTAAAAGAAAACCTATGGACATGACTGCAAGTCTTTGGTCCTTGTCTGTATAAACTGGAACCCAGCTAAAAAGAATAGATAGGTGTTACACTGAGAAGGCATTGTTTTAAAGAGGGTTTCAGTTGAGAGTTGCCTACTTGATCATGACAGGGCACAAGGTAGAATCAGGCGGAACCAGATTCAACTGTTCATGGGTGGGGTTTTCATTCTATTGGAGGTACTCCCTTTTAAGCTACACATCTCCTTAGGGGCTTCCATATGTACAGGTTTTAAAACATGTTCACTACTGTCTCTTTTCAGCCCAGAAAGGAATCTTCATAATAACTTGTATGCTTACCATTTTATATCAAACTTCTTGAAAGAATATGGGAGTCACTCTACAAAAGTTACCCTCAAAAGAGCATCGAATCACCCCTGACAATTTCCTCCAGGTATCCCCCTCAGGTTAAAAAAATGACTGTTGTTTGGTACCCAACACTTTGCTGCTAACACAGGTTAGCCTGAAAGAGGTCAGGAACAGTTTGAGAAAATGGTCCTTCAATCCTTCAACTCCCAAGATCTAGTTGTTAATTCTCCTCTCTAGCTGCCGGACATTTCCTTGTACATTTCTCGTTTGGTGGATAATGTGTGAATATTACAGGGCAAAGATATATATTAATCAGTTCTGAGAGGTAAAGGGTAAAGAAAAAAGGTATCCTCAATGACTCACCCAGCAGAACACTGGTGTATATCAGATCCCTCTACACTCATCATTCTTGGAATACTTGGTCCACATAAATCCACATCCAGTATTCCAACCTAAAAGACCAAGGCAAGATTTTATCATGACATCCATGTTTCTATACACACAAAACTTACATTTCTAGAAACAATCAAATCTTTTGCTGTAGTAACCCTAGAACCATCACAATTGTCCATTAACCAGCAATATCTAGTTAACCCTCAAACTCCCAAGATTTCATTTAGTAATTCTCTTTACAGCATGAAACTCTTAAAGAAATTAGAGTGGCTCCCTTTTTATGACAAAGTCAAGTTAAATAAGAGCGTTTTAGTTTTTAAGCATTTACAAGGATGCTGTCCTGCACATATGTACAATATACTTAAATTTAATTCAGACCTACACACGTGAACTAGTTGTTATAGTAAATTAAATCTCGCCTGCCCTTGTTTCAATCGCAAAACCAAGGCAACCCAAGCGGCATATTTTATTTTATATAGTTTTTAGTTTGCATTCTTATAGACCTGTTTTATAATCCTCAAATTCATTTTACATACATTTTATACATTTTAACTCTAATAATGGTACTTTTAGGATCGAGGGCCTTTAGTTCATCAGTTGAATTACTGTTATGTGTTACCCTCCTTAAATAAAGTTGTTATTATTATTATTATTATTATTATTACTTTATTGGAAGTTTGGAAATTTTGGTAGTGGATCAATTAGTAATCCTATAATTGAGATTTTTCATTATTCATTTCATTATTCTCGTCACTTGTCTGCTTGATAATGTATTGATATTGTAAGGAGAAATTCTGTCTTGGTCACTCATGGGAATTGAAGGGTAAAGGGGAAACAAGCAAATTATGAAACTTTGAGGGATTACAAGTGGCATAGAGAATTATCTGTCAGAGGGATAAAACTTTGACAAGGTCATTTTCAATTGGAAAAAATTTCATAAAAGAAAAAAGGATAATAAATCTTTTCACCTACAAAATCTTCATCTTAACTACTCTTACTTTCTGTCATAATTGCACAGTTCATGGATTAGATACTCAGATTTTGGGAATGAAAGGGTTAAAATGCATGTACATCCCAGGACACCAGTCTGCATAGAATGGCAGAATTTAAATTGCACTGACAAAGGGCTAATGCTTGAAATGTCAGCTTTAAAACTCCTTATGGTAATCAAATTACGTTACCAACTCAGTTGATAATACTAAATTACATTGTTATACTCTCCCACTGACACAGCACCACAGTTTCTATAGACACTTACCCTTTATGGCAGAATTTGACAAGATCTTGCGTGTGCAATGTGGCAATTCTAGCATGCAAAGTGAATGTTCAAAAAATAACTTGTGTGTGCACCTGCCATACTCAGCAGACTGGCCCTGATGTAAATTTGGGATATTAGTATGTGACGGGGATTATAACTGGTAGAAGTCGTGTTGGTGAAGATATAGCTGAGAAAATTGTTAACCTTTTTGCCTTTGCTGTAGAGAGACCAAGCAATCTGTGTCGTAACTGTACTTTTTCCAACACCTCCTTTACCGGAAAGGATTAGAATCACATGCTTGATAGATTTCATCACATCTCCAATACTTTGCGCTGACTGGCCGGCTAAAAATTAAACGAGAAATAGGCTAATGAGGGCGCTGTGACGATTCACAACGTGAGGAATATACTGGCTAATACCACAAAATTTACGTTAGCTACGGGTTACGTTCTATTAAAATGTAAGCTTACAGTTATGGTTTGGTTAAGTTTTTTTCACGCGTAATTGACTAGTGAAGGACGATGACTTAACACTTTCGCCGTGATTGAACAAAATGGCGCTGCCGAGTTAAGATTACGAGCTGCACCATGAATAAGGGGAAGACAATGTAGTTTTAAAGAAGATAAGAATAAGACAAACAACTTTCGATCACTCCAGGATCGGAGTGAGTATGTCTTGTTATGTCTACTTACCATCCGCCATCTTGAAGTTTTAAAGAATACTGCTGGTCTTCTCCTCCCTACTGGCGGCTCAAGATAGTCCAGGCTTTCTCGGCCGACTCATCTGCCACTTTTCCCGTCGCGCCATCAGAACTCAGAATATGTGCTTATCATTATCCAACTGCACAAAGTAGAGTACAAATAACGCGCGAATAGAGTACAAATATCTTGCGATATTGTACGGTTATTTGGACAGTTAGTTATTTTGTACTGTAAAAACCTGTTTAACCAGTCGGCTGCACGCGCCACGCTTCTCTTTCCACTTCGCTTTTCCCGCCTTATGAAAAAATAAGCAGAAACACTTAGCACAAAAAAAGAGCAGTTAGATAGCAAATAACGTGTTGTTTGTAATTTGACTCGCCCTACGGGCTCGTCAATATACGGCACAGCTCGTAAAAATACTCCGCTGTACTACACACCAAAACGTCTAACAAGATATAATTCATGAAAAATTGGTGTGCAAGAATTCAAAAGAATTAACCGAGATCTCTTCAGTGCTATTGTGTATTGGTACTCAAGGTTTGGTAGTTCTACTCCAACACCTGTTCAGTATTTGAATTAGTTCCAGTAATAGCACCAAGATTTGTCTAAGTCTTGTTCGAACTAAAGGTATTATGGTTTCGCAAATCTTAATTTTGGAGGCTAAGAATTGATTTCACTCACTGTTTTCATTTGCCGCAGTGAAAACATCAGGAATGACATAAAATAATTCTTCATAGAAAATCTAATTCACCACATACACAAGCTTAATAAAAATAATTTTAATACTTGACAAAAACTCGGTCTTTAGAAGACTTCTGAACTACTAATTCTGGCTTTGCATTCTTGGAAACTGATGAATGTTATGTTGCTTCACAACAACTTCCGATGATTGTCGATCTATCCCGAACTCATTCCCGTCCTGAGAACACGTCACCCATCACTTTCCAAGAGTGCCGCGGACTTGTCCTCTAGATTTGTAAGTATCAAATTCACAGGAAAAATTATGTTACATAAAAAAGGTCACTCTATACAATTTTTAAGTATCAAAATGTTAATCTCGCGAATGAAAACGAGCTGCATACGGTAGGCGCCGACAACACCTCTATCAATTTAATTTATTGTAATTATTCCTAATTTTAATCTTACTGTCTGGCATAATTTACCTGGGATTGATTTACTTCTCAAGTCTGTGTTTATAGGATAGAAAGAATAAGAAAACACACTCAAACTTGCAAAAGGTATCTAGGAATAATCAGAGTTGTTGTGAAAGCTCTTTTCAAGTGTCTCAAAGTACCGTGGGATTGCAATAGTTTTCTTTTGACATACTCTGTGATTGTTCTAAAAAGACTTGCCCCAGTCCCTACTCTTTGAATGGTCGAAACCGAAAAAAACTCGAAACAGTCCTTGAACCAATCAGAAGCCAAGCTAATAAAGCAAATCACGACTTAGTCTGGCACACCTCAGGAAGTTTGCTCGTTTTCTTTTTTGAACTTTCCACGAATCCTTAAACGTATTGACATTGTCCGCTGATACTTAAGATTTGGTTTTACGTCACTCAGTCGACACGCGCTCTCAATTTAATACATCACCCTAACGAAATAAGAAAAAAACCAGAGTGGGCAAAGAACTATCCCCAGACCACTTTTAGCTGTCCACACACTTTCCCTCAAATAACTTTTCCAGAGCCAAATTCTCCCCTTAAGTAAACCTCTATGAAGCTGTGTTAGTCGTCTTATCTCCGATTACGGAATCTCTGCGGAGTTTCACTCCCAAGGAAATTACACTTGTTTATCACGTCGATAACAGAGGTTAGAACCCAAAGTCATGTGTCAGGGCGGTTTCCCTGCTCCTTGGCGAGTCTTGATGGACACAAAGACTCATAACGTGCCCTTGTAAGAAAATTTTTCCATGCAGCACTTGAATCTGAAGTGAAAGCAAATTCTTATTTTCACCAGTTTTTAATAATTTAGGAAGACGGCTAGTCTCCTTCGCAGAAGTGTTCGGTTTCATCATGCGACGCACTCCGTTCCCCAGAGTACCCTCAGCGTGGGAGAGAGCGCATTGCGTGACGAGACCAAACAGCGGCTGCAAAGGAGACCAGATGACGGTCGGACTAAGAACAAGCCATTGGAGCAAATTTCGTGACAGCGTACAAAACGTAACTTTTGAGTCCATGCGTCATAAAAATAGGAAACTTTCCTTCAAGAATACTTTTTTCCTGGGTTTCTAACTCCAAATGGTGTCCAAAATGACCCGTTAACTTTTAACTTTCTGGGAATAGTCCAGGAGATGCGTGAAAACTTGGAAGAACTGTGAGCATTATCGCGCTCGAAGTTTGAGTTGAGCAATGTAGCTACACATCTTCAACGTGGGTCCCAGTTTCATTCGCGTGAACTGCATCAAGGAGTCGCGTGATAACAGCATCAGTGCTTGGCCGTCGATTTCCTGTCAAAGATTACGATACACATCAGTGACGTTAAATGGTTTGGGGCTAACCGACACCCAAAAGTGTAATATTAAGCTCTCGACTAAAAAAAAGGCACCGCGTGGGGCGTCACTCTCAAACGAATCTTAATACAAGAACATAACAGTGTAGCTGCATGCATTTACCTGATCTAAAAATATATTAGCATAATGTAAGCAGTCCGTTGAGCGCACGTATCTCACAACTTGTTCCACTGACCACGTGGAAGGATTAGCGGGGAGGTCTGGTGATCGGCCATTAACGCAGCCCGGAAGTGACGTATTAGTGCCGACATCAACGCAGAACGGCTTTGGGCGTATGGGTCGATTCCCCAAGGGGGAGAAGGGTGAGTTTGACGTCGGGGAATGGTAAGGCGAATATCTTGATGCAGAGTGGTGACCTGAGTAGAAAAACAAATGTTCTCTCCTAAAAATACTCTCAGAGTATCGGCAAACTAGAGTGATGATAAGATAGCGGTTGGTAAAAGGACGACTCATTTATGATTTTTTACCGCTCGTAAAAGAGCTCTTGCAGTAGGATGAGGGGTATAACTAAATCAAAAAGGATGAGAAGGCCCTGCTGCAAGATGAAAAAAAATCTGAGTCCTCCACAAGTTTCGAACGTGTCAACCTTTCTTTAACTAGTCAGGTGCCATACCACTGAGAAAAAAAAGGACTAGAAGGCTCAACTCAGAGACAATTGTGTCCTCAAACCAAAATTTCATGAGTATGAATTTCCTTCGCCCCGGAAAATTCACACTGCACTTTCACCCGACCAGGTGCCAACTTAAAAGGTGACCACTTGCGACTTGGTTAATCGCAGTTTCCCGCTCCTTACTGATAGACAGTTTTACAGGATTACAAATCGAGTTCTGATTCGCTTCTTGTGATAATTGCCTTTCTTCTGATTGGCTGCTATGACCTTCAATCAGAAATCGCTTTATCTTTACTTTACGTGAGTAATGATCTTTTTCTGATTCATAACATGTTTTATCGTACCTCTAGGATCAGTTCCAGAGCTCATGCGCATCATCTTAGCACCCTTAGGAGAAGTGATGCGCTTGTCGCCAGGCATCCCTGTTCCATGGTGGGCATGTGCACGAGAAACTGACGGCGAGCGAACCATAGGCGAGGTGGAACCAGAGGGTCCTGCGGTACCCAACTCTCGAACCACAGGTACACCAGGGATCATCGGGATTTGCGACGGCCCGCCCAAGCCTGGGGATTTCAGTTTAGGTGATGTTACTTCGTTAGAATCTGAAAACAAAAAACAAAGATGAAAAATACTAGTTTCGTTAAAAAAAAATTTAAGAAGGACCACTTTCAATTCATATCCTTCTAAAAGTTAATAGGAAAAAATGACCGCGTTTTATCGTAAGCAATGAACCCTCAGCAAGAAAAATAATACCTTTCTTCATTCGTCCTTTCCTCTTTTTGATTATAGGCTTTACTCTCCTTCTCTCTTCTGTCTCGTCCCAATCTGGATCACTATTCGAGAAGCTCTCTGTCTTGAATCGAAACCCAATGCCCTTTGGCGGCCGGCCTCGCTTTGGTCTTTCCCCTGAAGGAGATTTCGGAAGATCGTCGAGTTCAACTTCTTCCTCCATGGCAGCTACTTCGGAAGTGCTCGGCGCGCCTTCTTCGTCCTTCCGACGGTATTTCGACTTAATGTAGGTCAATCGTGTGCGTTTTCTACGCTTCTTTTTCAGCCACCAAAGGTTTCTCTTCGGAGGCGATTGTGATTTGTCTCCAATTAATTCCTCTCCTTCTCCTACTTCTTCTTCTTCGTCCGCCATTTTTCTTTCTTCGTCTTCTTGCTCTTCTTTTATGGTTATCTCTTCGGTTATCTTCGTGTCTTTATCGGTCGCGTTCGTGAGGGCTTGTAAATGCTCGATGGAACTTTTCGGTTGTATCGGGGTTGGCGCAAGGTGAGATTTTGACATTGATACCGAATCCACTAACGTAATGCCAGGTAAACTGGATCCAACACTTCGCTGTACATTGCCAGACACTGTAGGCACTGGGAATGGCAATTTGAAGCTCTAAAGAAAAATTCAGTAACAAATAAATGTTCAACAGTAAACACGTGAAAAAGGAACTAGTTGCTTCGTGTGATTTTCAGCACTACTCATTCACGGACGATCACGTCAGTAATTGTACAAAAGACTACCTTCGTTAAATCAATTCTTTTCTGCGAAGGTTGTTATTTTTCAGGGGGACTCGGGACTTTAAGTGTATTTATCTATGCTTGTGGATCATCGAGAAGAGAGATTCTAAATGCTCTGTTAGACTGGAGCGACAAAAAGGCAAAAAAGGCCGGAGAAGCAACGACGATACTTGTAATGTGATCTTACCTGTTGATGGGGGGGCATCTTCAACGGAGCTCCTCCCTGGGGACGCATGGGAGGAGGATGCCGGGGATACCCACTTCCTAAGGGTGCTCTGACACTCGAGAACCTCAGGGGGGCATTCCGCGGAGACATACCAGGATTTATTGATCGGGGGATCCCTGGATAGTTTGGCATAATTGGCCTTTGGGACATAGTTGCGACGCCCGCTTGCGAAACCACCCTATCTCCCGAACCTGGGTGAGGCTGTCCGCTGGAGCTTGAAACCCCTGGGGAGCTACTGAGGGGAGGCGGCGGAGCATTTCCTTGAGGGTGGTGGTTTACTACCCCTGTCCTAACTGCTATGGGATTGTAAGATGGAGGGTGAGTGTGCATTCCAGGGCGAGGCGGTGGCATACTGCTGCTGTTCGGCTGAGCTTGAACGTACATCCCTTGGGGACGTCCTCCTTGGCCAACCCTTGCATTGGGAACAAGTGGGGGAGGAGGAGGTGTCCCACCACCTGGTTTGATTGGAACTGCAGATGACGTCCCCGGAGGATTTGGGTGAACTCCGGGATGGCGGATCACTCCTCCGGGATTTGGACTCAATACTTGTCGAGGATACACTGGCGGACTTGTGGCAGGTCTGTAGCCAGTGTTTACGGACAGTTGTCCTGTGGTAGGCGTGCCATACGAGGCTCTGGATACGGGTGGACCATGCGCACTGCTAGTAGAGTAAGGTGGCGGCACGGACACACTGCTGGCGGTTTGAACAGCGGAAACTGCATGAATCGCAAGTTGATTCGCTGGTTCTACCGCCATGTTTGTAGATGCGGTCACGTGACTGCTACTGGCCTCTGTAGCAATCTTGGTCAGCGGTGGAGGAGTACAGTTGGATATGGTAACGTTGGGTGGGGCGCGGCCAAACGTGATGGTCGTTCCAGAGCTCGTGGCACTTGTGGCAAATCTTTGGCTTGACACATTGGTGACTATTCGACTTGTGCCATCCGGTAACGATATGGGGCTGTTACCACTGGAAGGATTATGCGTCTGACCTCCCTTAAGAGAGAAAGGAAGAATTTCATTTGGTAAGAAAAATTTGCTGTACGTTATGCATCGCAAGAGGCGTAGCTACGCAAGTACAACGCAATTATGTTAAATAACATAATGTTAAACATAGCATGTTATGGAAAAAGCTTCGGTGGCGTTTCCCGACTATCAGACTGTCATCAATTAACACTTAACTAGACATTAAAACAACTAGGTAAAGGGTTTTTTGGACATCTTGAAATTAAGCCTGGAGTTTTCAAGGCCTTCTTTTGTAATCTGCGCTATCGTCCATACGCTTTCTAGTGTCTGTTCCTCCTTTGTTAGTGTTTTTCTGCTTTAATACCAATATTTCAATGGGTCCTGTCATTATAAGGCAATTTCCGACTATGCCAAGAATGGCCCAAAATATATGACAAAGATTCGTCCATTACTTCACTCCAACCAAGACGTGATAAAAGCCACGAATTTCATCAGTGCACAGCCAGAGGGTTACCGCTAACACAATAACATGTGAATATGAAAGCGATCTTCGCAGTAAAGAACACTACTAAAGCAGTAGTGAAAATAAGGCCTGAAAAAAAAATCAGGTCTGTACGGGATTTGAACCCATGACCTCCGCGATACCGGTGCAGTGCTCTACCAACTGAGCTAACCAGCCAAGTGAGGGCTGGTCATTATGTTGTTGAAGTAAGGAATAAGGCCTTGAATTTTTTTCAGGCCCTACTTTCATTACTGCTTAAGTGGTGTTCATGACTGCGAGGATCGCTTTCGTATTTACTTCTCTATCCGCAGTTCATACATGGGATTTTCGTGTATTCACAGTCACAATAGTCTAAGAAGTAAACTAATACACAAGAGAAGAATTGACACTGTAACGGCTGATACAAACATGCGAGAGAAAAGAACACAACCTTCACCTCTTTCATAACAGGTTTTCCTCCTGGCAAAGCGTTAATCGGAACGGGTCCACGTTGAGGATGCGCCAAAGGAACTTTCCCCTGAGGTACGAGTAATGGTACGCTTTTTACTGTACTTGGTGAAGGATGGGGCATCGTTACATTTCCAGGAACCTGGAACCCCACGTTTCCAACTGTAACTGTTGAAGTAGAAACCCCAGGAGAAACTCCCTGAGGGATTACAACGGCAGTCCCAGGGGTTTGAGAAGTGACGGTAACATTCTGAACAGGTAAAATGGTGGTCGTTGCTGTGGTCGTCGCAGAAGAGATCTTCTGCCCCTGTGCCACATTGAAGGACGCCCCTACGATTGATAGACCGTTCTCCACCAGGGTCCTTGTGGCAACGTTGTTAGGGTCCCCTGGAAGTAAATATTCCGACTTCCGCTTCCGGCCTCGCTTCTTTTTCTCGACTCCTAGATGCTTGACTTCAAAGTATTCACGGGAACGTTTCGCTTTCAAGCCCTTTGGACCCTGGAGATTTCCTTGATCTGAAACACAAAAAGTAGTTATTAACCCATACAGTGAAAAACAAGCATTTCCATTGTCGTCAACGTTAAGATACCAACAAAGAGATTTCAATTACTTAGAGCACAAGGCAGCATCGCAGTTGAATCATCGCGCTCAAAATCGCTTAACGATAACCCTGAGAATTTTAGTCACATTTCCCAACATTATTTCAAACGCCGTTGGATCAAGATAAGCAAAGATCTAGCTAAATTCAAAGTTGTAAAAGACTGATATCGTCACTCGGCTTCTTCATAAATTATTAACGAGAATTCTTTCTTTCGATGTCAGCTGGTACCTGGCGGCAGACTATTCAACTTTTCTGTTCAAAATGTTCGTTTTTAATTGGAAAAAATGCATTATCCTAGATCATTTAAAAGCCTCATCACCCAATCATGAAACAAAACTAAATGGACTTGAAAAAAAGTTTTGCGTAATTAATTCCTCAGGAAGTCTTAAGTGAGAAAAGTTTATGTTAATTTATTTAAAGGAAGGAAACTTCATCGTTCGACATCTGTCTTTAGAGGGAGCGCGATTACTTTAATAAACCAGCCGTCCGCGCAAAAAAATTATAGCGCAGGAAAATGAATACTGTTTTTTTTTTTGTTTAGTTTAGTCTCTTTGTCAGTGATGTATGTCGTTTTTTAAGTACTTCCCAAACATTGATTAAATAACTAAAACGTTGACACTTAATATTAACATACGTAATCTAGCGCAAACTTCAAAACTAACACTCTACAGCGATGAAATAAAAACCAAATATCTAATTTTTTGAGAGTTCAGATAACACTCTTTCTCATTCAGCCTGTTCCACAACATAACCGACAGTAAAATCTTCGTTGAAAGTCTCCGCTTTTTTTTGGCCATCACATATGTGTATTTTTTTTTACTACATCGAGAACAAGTAACTCTTTCCCACCGTCAGCTTGGCAGCGATCGGGGCATGGCGTTGGTACCGGCTTTAAACTCAAAAAGAATTCACAACAAATGAGTCGTCTGCAAAATCTCTTCAGGTAGCGCTCCAACTTCGGTCGCGAATCCACGCGCGAAATCGCCTGTTGATAAAATAGATACGATACCAGTATATGTAAGGACAAGTTAATACCTCGATTTAATCATGAACTAAACCTAAAACCCTGAATAAACAAGGAGAAAATTAACGGCTATTTGAATATCAAACGACTCAGCCGGTGAAATTTTCACTAAATGACCCTCAGGTATTAATTTTTTTTTATGAGCTTTCAAAGTATTTTGTCAGCAGTTGAGTTTATTTTTCACTCAATATGAATAAAGTTTGGTTGACTGAGTTCGGTTTTAGAATCAAAATCAAAGGGCAGGTTTTGCTGATCTGATCCCGCCGATCTAAATTCGATCTCAATTCGATCTCGCTTCCTCTGATAGAAGCACGAGGTCTGAACCGTATCTTTAATTAATTTTCATTTTTCTTCTGGTGAGCCAAACCAACCGTTCGCCATGTAAGCGATTTATTATTGCGTCATACGCGCTTGAGGACCGATACAAGAGCACTTTGAACAGCTTTGAAGTACGATTGTGCCAGGTTCAAATTTCTTAACGGTAAATAAGAATTAATGTTGAGCTTGGGGACTGTGGTCTCGAAGGAAATGTATTACAACCACAAAGTATATTCCATGGTTTTGGTGGCGAACGAAAAGGAAGTGGTACGGGAACAGCAAATTTCGCGAAACAGGATTCTCGATCTTTCCGAAATCTTCGAAAACGGGTGTTACCCATGAACAACTTCACAGTGATTACGCAAAGAGTTCAGCCTAGGAGGAAAAATTGGGTGCACACCAATACGTGCGTTTTTTTATCCGCAACAAGAATACTTAACCCTTTAAACACTAACATCAGTATACATAATCTCCATATTTAGTGGGTGAACATTTTCTTTATTCTTGGGACCTTAAGGGGTGATTCAAGGGTGACATTGTACGTAAAAATTAGATGCTAGTCAATTTATAAGGAGTAAAAGGGTTAAGAAAGATCTTCGATCTTTGTCGCGACCCATTGACAATAAAGAAACACACGCCTGATACGCATGCAAGAGTTATATTTTTGGACGGGTGGTTTGAAATGGGACACTAAGAAATTGATGTTTGCATTTTTACAAAGGAAAATGTGTATTTACTTTCAAAACATTCAAATTAAAATATCGTTCAATAGGGAGCAGGCTGAGACCATTTTTACTGGCGTTCTTTCGTCAGAGACAAAAGTCTTTAGAGAGTTCACGTTTGGTGTGTTCACCGCTAACGTCAAACCGCGATCAGCAGTTTGTGGTTAGAAGTTAGAAGTCTCGAGACTTTCAGCTTTTTCGATCGACGTCGGGTTTCACCTGAGAAAAATCAACATGTGCGCCGCCATCTTGAATTACACATAGGATGAAGGTCCTACAAGGATTAGTTATAAAGAAAAGACTTCACCCCACATCTATTTATAGGAAATAAGTGAGATCTTTCGAAAAGGAAGAGGAAAAGCGTCCAGGGAGTTGAAGTACCTGAAACTGCCTTGCCCGAAGTTCAAACGTGGACCGCAAACGGCGACCTTGACCGCTAGAGTCTGGTAACGTGACTCCTAGACGTTTGCGGTCACACGTATTCAGAAACAAACGTGGATCATAAACTCCCTATTTAGACTTGGTTGCCTCATAAAATATTCTTCCACATCATTTTGCTATGGAAAGTAAACCGAAACTCTGTTTTGTCCCCAGTAGCCTCTAAACGAAGATATTTGGCGGAGAAGTGAAAATAATTTGGCCGAAGAGAAAAGTTTCTTATTTCAAAGACTTTCACGAGGGCATAACAACGTAAGCTTCTTAAATGGTTGTTGCCTATCTGGACTTCGCCCTGCGTGGGCTGAATACGTGATAAAATGCAGGTTCTTTACAAGGAATCAACTCGTGATGGGGTGAAGTCTAAGGTAGCTAAACGCGAATTCGATTGGTAGAAAATGTCTGAGGACGCGAGAATTGAGTGGAAAATTGACCAAATAAAGTAGGATTATGTCGTAAAATTTAGGTTGTTCGCTGGAAAATGGCCTTCATCTGAGAAAGTATTGTTAATAGTGACAAGTAATCACATAATTGTATCGGGAAAATACCTATAAACAAGATGTAACTCATGGAGAACTTTCAAAAGCATAGAAACGGATTTTTAACAAGACAGTCGACGCAGAAAGTAAATGCAACTTTCTGACGTTTTAAACCTTCGCCAAAAGAGCAATCACAAGGCAAAAACAAAATTAACGCTCAAATATTCTTTACTAGTGCTAATGCTTGGCGCAATTTTTACCTGAGTCAGCAAAAATAGCCCTTCCAAAAAAAGGGCTCAACTGATAATTTCGAGTAAGGCCTTTGTATGACGGCGTAAGTGTAAGAAGTAAAGGAGCGGTACGCAAATCACGTTTTCACTTCTAAATGGTAGACAATTCCCTGACGACCTTTCTAACCCCAACAGGTCATAGCGACGAAGTCCTCACGAAGGACACGAACCATTACAGTAGGTAGATGAGCTCACAATTCTTTGTTAATATGTCATTCGTGGTGCACGTTTATGTTGGGTTAATTCCATCGCAAAATTTTGCAGTACTCTAATTTCATACTCTGATTGGTGCAGGCATACCCCAATACTGTGATCTGATTGGTGCGAGATATATACCCTAATGAGGCGACCTTATTGGTGCGAGATACATACCCAAATGCGGAGATCTGGTTGCTGCGAGATACATACCCAAATGCTGCGATCTGATTGGTGCGAGCAACATACCACTCGATACGCTAACATAGAGTTTTTTTTAAATTACAATAACTTAAAATTGTGGGTTTCCTGACAAGAATCAAACTCCAGCAAATTCGATTTCGCGCTAAAATCATCCCTTCCACTACTCCGATAAGCACCGTTGAAAGCGTGTTGTAAGGAAACAGAGTCAAAAAGACATATTCCCTCTTACCTTTTTAAGAATCTTGCCTTTGTGTTTTACCACTACCCGCACTCCGCATCCCTCCTGCATCAAATCTATAACCTTTTCTGGATCAAATGCTGCCTTGGCTACCATCTCCAGCCCCGTGCGTATAACGCTACTGACCTTCCCAGGAGGGGTAGCCTCGGGCAGTTGTGACACCTTGTCCGGGTCTAACAGGGGTCCATAGCAACAGCTCTTGTTAAAGAAGATCTGGTTCTTGTTGTGATAAAATCGTTCTGACCCTGAACAAAAGCAAGAGTCTTTGAGAAAAGGATCAAGCAAGTTTTTGTGGGCGTTTCATCAAAGAAAGTTTTTCCCCCCTTGAGTTAATACTTTCAGAATTTTCGTCATGCCCAAATCGAGGTTTGTACAATTTTTTCAGCGCAAAAATAACTCTGACCATACCATACGGAAAGTTATAGGTCGACATACCTACCGGTCACATAGATGTCAACCAACACTTGCGGCAACTTGGAACAAGGAAAAACCTTCAAGTTCTATCTTAATTTCAACTAGTTTTTTTTCCTCAAAAATTCTGTGGCAAATTTCCATACTATTTCGGAATTTGGGTGCCGAAGGAACCTGCTTGAGGGAAAAATAACCTAAACGACACTGTGGCTTCCATGAAAATTTCACAGCATTTCACAGTTCACAGAGTTCAAATGGTCTTTCAGTTGAGCCTTGCGCGATCAAACGTGTCCAGGAACTTTGTGCCAGTATTAGCGACCCAAGTCCAGGAATATCGTACCGATATTAGCGTCCCAAATCTTCCATCATCTCTTACCTGTGTCATCATCACTAATGTCACTTTCTTCGCCTGGAGACTTGTCATCTTTTTCAATTTTGCTGTAAGCACAACAACCACAAATAAGTAACACCATCGTTCTTTGCTTGGAGGAAAAGCCCATACGAATACGGAATTGCGGAGATGCGTCTTAAAGCCTAAAACAGATAACACCAAATTCCCCCTTCGCCCCCGCCCCACATTGCTTAGATAGGCCCAGGCAATATGCTACAATCTGTACTTGTCAGGTTGTGCTAAAACCACCCCCACCCCCACCCCCCAACCTTCCTGGTCACCGCTACAACCAGCTTCTCCTATTTTTCATTCACAAGATGAGCACGTACTTAAGGTTGAGCCCAGGACTTCGCTTGCGTTTTGCACCCGCAATTCATGGTAAGTCAAAAGAGAATTTTGTCTGATATAAAACCAATCAAATCAGTAGGAAACTTCCCTAACCTCACAGCTGGGATCTTTCTGGGTAAAATTCCTAAAAGTGAGGAAAAGCAAACCATTTCATATCAAAAATTATATTCACAACAACTAATGTACACATTCATTGTTTGGATTGTCTCCCAGTCAATTCGTCAAGGAGACAGACAACCCTTACACTTTGCATCAACCCAAGTTGCTTTCCCCTTATCATACTCATTTTGAAGAGAAGAGTCCTTTCTGCAAGAGTTAAACTAAGGTAGGAAGAAAAAAACAATCCAGCACACAGCAAGCAAATTTAAACCATATCCTTAACCCTTGGTTCCCTAAGAGTGACTAACATCTAATTTCTCCCCACAAAATCACCCCTGAATCAAACACTAAGGTCACAAGAATAAAGGAGAAGAATCTCTTGATTGTTAAACAAGTTATCCTAATCAGGACCTTAGGAAATTTATAGAGAACAGTGTGGAGAATATGCATACTGATGTCAGGGAGTACAGGGTTAATTCCTTGGCTATGTTCCAGTCTTATTACCCACAATCCTTGATAAAACAAACGTAACAATTGGAACACTCCTTCCCTTAATTTCAATAATACCAAAAATATTGGTTTTGCTCTTTGCATCCTCTCTTCAAAACTTTATGGGGGAGAGGGGGAGGGGGAAAAAGAGAGTTAAAATGTCTCTTATATCCTTTCCAAAGACGTAGTAATGAGTCTAACAACTAATAAAGTTGACCATAAGAGGCAGGGAGAAAATGATGGAACAGTACGATGCATGAATGTGTAATGTTGCTAAAGCATTCATTGTTTCATATATTTCTTAAAACTTGCCATAGCGCCTATTACAAGACACAGTTCAGAGGTGTTAATATTGATTAAAAGGTTGACTTACCCAGGGCTTGTTGTCCTGACTGGGTTTGGTTCTGCCTTCCCATGACCTCCAGAAATGAGGGCAGTACTAGAGTGTCTTCCTCATCTGAGCTGCATGCCAGAGGACGACAAAGGATTTTAATTTGATGTTAAGTTACTTTTTATTATAAAAGCGCAGTAGTTTCTACAAATAACTAGTTAATAGCTTGAAATACCCACATTCTTCCTTCATCATCATCAGCAAAATCAGCCTGTTCCAATTTGGACAGATTTGCTCAACTTCACAAGATCAAAGCAACTCAGGAGGTGAGCCATAAATTTAAGGAAGAACTACCGTAATTTCCGGCCATTTACCCGCACGGCCGATTATTGCATACGGCGATTATTATTGCGCTTCGTGGCACTCTTAATTCAATAAAATTCATTTGAGAGGTGGAAACGCATGTAGGTGATAATTTTTTTCAATTCAACTACCTGCAGATTTTAAAACTGTCACACAACCCGCACCTCCCTATTACCCGCAGTGGCGCGCGTTTAATGCAAAATCAACAGATTACACGCGGGTAAACGGCCGGAAATTACAGTAAGAGGCCAAAACATGTATTGAGAGCTTAACACACATCCATACCCTCCCTGAACATCCTTGGGTTATCACTCAAATTTTCTTTAATCCTTTACCTCTCAGAGATGATTAACATGTAAATTCTCCCTATAATTTCCACATAGTATCCAGCAAACAGGTTATGAGAGTACTCAAACTTATTAGGTAGAAGCTGTTGTCTTGATCTAACATCAAATTCTCTTCACTAATTTACCAGAAAATGTGTAGCAGCTAGAGGGGAGAATTAATAATCAGATCTTGGGAGTTAAAGGGCAAAGAGTGTTACAAAAAAGAAGATGATTATGCCCCTAAAATCTGCCAATTTAATTTCAGGGAAAAAATGTAACTGATAGCTGGAGAAATGTGGCTATTTTGAGCAACTTGAGGATTAGCATGTGAAAGACAAAGGAACTCTTGTTTAGATACCAAACATCATCAATCAAAACATATCAAACAAAAGAACCTAACCCTTTAAATCCCAAAGTCTGATTGTTAATTCTCCCCTTTAGCTGTTACACATTACTTTTAAATTAGTTACAAGACCTTGGTGTTAGATCAAGAGAACAATCTATACCTGATATGTTTGAGTATTCTCATTACCTGTTTGCTGTGTAATGTATGGATATTATAGGGGAGAAGTTACATGTTGATCACCTCTGGGATTTAATGGGTTAAATAATGCATCCATGCAATTGCATGATATTCAGGATGCTGTAGAATGCAAATAAACTGCAATTAGGAAAAGAAAGCCTATAAACTGACCTGGATGCATCAGAAGGAACTAGAAAAAAAGGAAAGAAAAGTACACATAAGCAATTAATAAAAGAGAAATATTCTAAAAAATTGAAGCCCAGTAATTACAAATATGTCATTGACTCAATTCTGTGTTCTGGATGCCTCATACCCTCCACTCCTTATGTGGCACCTATTTTTTTTCCTGCTGATTTTACTTACTACACAGGGAACAGAGACAGAGTCACACCCAGACATCCATAACTGAATATTGGAAATTTTGAGAAGAAACTGTTCCCCAAAACAGCATAATGTCATGCCTTCTACAAAAGAACAAAGAAATTTCACAGACTTTTGTAGCCAACAGAGCATATGGTTTAGTATCCCAAACCACTTGAAGCTTCAATGCTGGTTTTCTCCATTCTGACACTTAACACTGGCCTTCTAAGTGCACACAAATTCCTCAGCTATTGCAGTCAAGGACACAGTGACTCAACTACCCTAAGGAGCCTGTTGTTAGTGCTCACAAAACTTCACTCCCCTAGGCCAATGACTAGAAAAGTAAACAATACACTTACTTGTACCAAATGGAGTGTGAAGTATGTGTCCAGTTCTTTTACACCAGCCAATGGGGTATATGTCTGGGGATTCAAAATCCACAAACTGGAACTTGGATTGTCCATCAAAGAAAAGCTGCAGCATACGACCCATGATGTTTGTTATGGTGGCCACTCGAATGATGTGTGGCTTCTCTAGGTCAACCACTTCTAGTTTCATCCCAGGTTTGAATTTATGGGCTTTCATTTTCTGGATGAAGAGATATCAAAGTTCAGCAAGATAAAAAGAAGACTAAAAAGTAGTGGTAAAGGAAAAAAGAAGTCTTGTGCGTCATATGGAAAAATACTAAACCTACCCGAAACAGATGAGCAGGGGCAAGAGTTGACCGGCATACAGTTAAATATTTGTCCCATGCAAAGGTCTTTTTGGTGTAGCCTGAAACATAAATAATCGCACAAGAACCCTGATTATGTAAGAGTGAATTTAAGGGCTACCACTCACAATGGGATACACAACACCTCAGTGAGGTGAAACATCTGCTTCTTTTTCCCACACCCTGCTCCAATATCTCCTTGATAAACACAACACCACATAATTGACTTCCATCTCACATCACAGATTGACATGTGTTTCCATTTTTACATCTCCTTCCTGCTCCCCACCCTTATAAAGTTATCCCTTCCCACCTCCAAAACTTTCCTCTCCTTGCTCCTGTTGCCCCCTGTCTCCACACACTTGAATAGGTGGCCCACAAATAGAAATCTCTAACTTACAACACTTAACCTTATTAAGCCCTGAAGTGATTAACCTAAAACTTCTCCCTATAATATCCTTACAGTATCTAGCAATCGGCAAATGAGAATACCAAAACTTATCAGGCAGAAGTTGTTATCGTGATCTAATAGCAAATTCACCCAGAATTGTGTAAAGGTGGAGGGGAGAATTAACAATCAGATCTTGGGAGTTAAACAGTTAACACTTACTTCCAGGAACAGACAAATCCACTTGGTGTCTGGAACACCAGCCTGCAGGAAAAATCCCTGGAGAGTCACTATGGCAACAAAATGTGACTGCGGGCACATCTTCTTGATAGTCCGTAGTAACAGCAAAGTAGTAGGGTCCCAAGCTCTTGGTGACTGTTGCAGGGCAGATGATTGATGGCTTCATTGGGTGAACAGCTTCTAATTTCATGCCAATTTCAAACCCATGAACTCTTGGTTGGAAGTGTTCTTGAGTCTATGTGGCAAATGAAAAATTGAAGGGAAAAAAAAATTATAATTATAATTTCTATTATTTTGTTGCAGCCCCTAAATAATGGAATTTATCTACTAAAAGAAACCAAGATGCCTGAATGGCCTTCTTGCTTGAAATATACCTTTCACACTCAGAGTTAGGTATCTTAGTCCCACAGGATAAAAATAGGACATAATTTCAAACCAAAAAACCATCAAAAGGATCCATTCCAAAGTCTTTCAAACAATATTCATGATAGAGACTTTAATACAATCTATCTTAATGTTTTTAGCACTTGGGTTTTTGGGTTTATGTTCTTCTTAACAGATGTTGATTTGCACAATTATGACAAGTAACTTTTTATTGAACCAAGTTTTAATTCATTTTGATATGCCTGGGTTTATCATCAGGACCACTCTGAAAATCACATCACTAAAATGAGTTTTATTGCAAGAAAATAACAATTGTTTGCCCAATTAGCAAAAAAAACTATTTTGATGAATATGAAAGTGATCTTTGTGGTAGTGAACACTACTTATTAGAAATAGTGAAAATAAGGCCTGAAAAAAATTCAGACCTGCATGGGATTTGAACCCATGACCTTTGCAATACAGGTGCAGTGCTCTACCAACTGAGCTAACAAGCCAACTGGGAGCTGGTTATGTTGGTTTGTGATAAACCTGTGAAGTGATGAATCAATGACCGTGAACATCATATATGCAAACTGCCATTTAAGAAATGAATATGAAAGCTATCATCGTAGTAATGACTACTGCTTGGAGTAATAATGAGGCCTGAAAAAATTCAGGCCTGTAAACTATTTTGACAAAGGCTTTTATATGATATTTACAGTTTAGTAACCCTTTTAACTCCTGTGAGTGACTGAGACAGAATTTCTCTTTACAATATCAATACAATATCAAGCAGACAAGTGACAAGAAGAGAGAAAAATATCAATTAGGGGATTACAAGTTGATCCAATACCAAATTCTCCACACTAACATCACAAGAATTGTATGGCAGACAGTAAGGAGAATTACTAATGAGATCTTGGGAGTTAAAGGGTTAAGACAGTCACACACCTTTCTAAACAGATCATGAGGTGCAGCCAGAGCTCCTGTGAGAGTCTGAGTTAAAAATGTCCTCCAGTCTTCAAGAGTACTGTTTATACCTACCAGTCCGGATAAAAAAAAGAGTTCAGATAATCAAAAATACGAATGTTACTGAGCCAAAAATAAAATGAATAACTCAAAAGAGAACAGCAATCATTTAATCAGCTAGATTGTACAAGGCTTTGTAAGAACTGGTTGACAGATGATAACTGGCTTGATTGCCCACTAACACTCATTTCTCAAGAAAACAGTAGAAATTAAACCTGACTGGTAACTAGCTTTTACTAAAACCCTTCCATCTGTCTATCAATCAATCTATCTATCTAACCACCAATCTGAGCCCATTGCTCCACCTAGCACATAGGCCATCAACAACAGTCTGCCAGAGATCTTTGTTCTGGGCCATCCTTTCTTATTGGTACCATGAGTGGCCAATCTTTCTGATGTCAGCCTCAAGGTCATGATGCCAGGGCTTCCTTGGTTGTCCTCTCTTTCTCTTACCCTGAGGATTCCAGCAGAGGGCCTGTCTTGTGACACTTGATGTTAGTTTGCAAAGGGTGTGCCCTATCCATTTCCATCTCTGCCTTCTGATCATCTTCTGATACTGCCAGCACTGAGACCCTTGATCCAGGAATTATGGCAGAGATGATACTTATATCTTACCTTTGGGAGGTTGGAGAGGATAGCCATTCTGTGCACACCAACCAATGGGATGTAACTCCTCTGCTTGGAAATTACACCAGCAGTCATTGCTATTGTCCTTTCCAAAGCCGTCATAACGTATACGCACCCTGTGCCCAACCTGTTGAATAACTGTTGCAACACAAAACGAAGGGGGATTGTTCCTGTCAACAGCTTCAAGTTTCATTCCTGGTTTAAGGCCTGGTACATCCACAGTTGTCTGTTGAGGATGAAGGGGATTTAAAAATCAAACATTTGGGGTAAGTTTCTAAAGAAACTGTGAGCTACTGCATCGGTGAGTTGATAAAGACATTTCAAATGTTAGTCTTTCGTTGAAGCAAATAGAGGAATAGCAGTTTGTGTGTGTTTTATGTCCCAAAAAACTAGAGGTACCCTATTAACAGGAACATGCTAACATGAAAAACAAGAACAAATTAGTTGAATGAAAAGCATTCATAGATACCATGGGATTTAAGAGAGCCAATTTGAAAGATTAAATTGGCCTATAACTGCTGGTGCTGATCTGTGGTTAAGCTATGTGGCCCATCTGTAAAGAGATGCCAAAGATTGGGAACAAAATGTCTGTACCAGATCTATTTGAGCCAGCTCAGTTCTAATCTTAACCTGTTGACCACTTTCTTGTCTACAAGCCTGTTGTTTGAGGGAATTGTACTGATATTTTAAGGAATTTACATGTTCTGCATTGCCAAGACTTTAAGCATTGATTAAATACCATCGTACACATGATCCTCCTCAGAATGACCCTCTAATAGGCCAATTTACAATTGTGTACTTAGTAGCCCTGCCTTTGATCTGGAGTGAGGCTGAAGGTGAACTTGTTGTAATAGAGACCAGTATCTAGTTAGCATGATAATAAATTAAGTTACATTTGAAAAGCAGCAACGTTTGTATCATAACAAGGTCAACTTTATCCTCACTCCTGTTCAAAAGCTTGGCAACCAAGCACACAACTGTAAAATTAACTATTAGTACATAAACCAAAAATAATCTGAGGACTCTTATTCATGTAGATGGGGATTATCACATGATGACCATCTAGTAATTTGGCACCACATCGTGTAAAGCAGCCAAGAGAATTATGCAAAAATTAGTAGGTGGGTTATAACAAGAAACACCATGCAATCAAACACTTCACATTTTAATATTCATTTAATCATGCATACTCACATGTTTGAAGCAGCAATCAGGGGCAGCTTTGCTTAAAGCTGCTTCCATATAATCACTCCAAGTAAATTTATGGGGAGTTTCACCTTCAGTGACTGCAGAATTTCAAAATTAGATACATAAGTTAGATCAGCTATTCTTATCCAATCCACATCAAAATTTGTAAAAAGGGTGATTTTAACATGAGTGGTGAAAAAAACACAATTTAAAAGTACTTCAATCACTACAGTGAATCATATCAAAAGGGAACTAGATGATATTACATTTATTCATTGTATTTTGCTCTGTTTCAATTCATTTTCTGTGCAGTACCTGAAAACTAGCTTGTAAGTGTTTTCACTAATGCAGTCTTTGCAGTAATGAACATTACAAGCAGTAGTGAAAATAAGGCCTAAAAAACATTCAGACCTGTATGGGATTTGAACCCATGACCTCTGCAATACCAGTGCAGTGTTCTACCAACTGAGCAAACAAGCCAAGAGGGAGTTGGTAACCATGTTGGTTCCAAATAAACCCATGAAATGATAAATAAATGACTGTGAATTTGGTATATTTACACAATAAACCATTATAAGAACCAACACAAAGTTAAAGCAATAATATTGTAATTCTGAACATCTTTTATGACATACCAGAAACTTACAAAAAAAGAAACAAACCTCCTGTGGTGCTTCCTTCGTCAGAGTCCTGTCCGTTGTCTTCATCCTCTTTCTTCTGAAAGATACAGATATATCAAACATCCCAAAAGAAAGGGTTGGTGTAAGGAAAGCCAGTGCCCCTCTACCCCTCCTCCCCCCCCTCCCACCAGCTTTTTGTGTTTTGTGTTTGTGTTTTGTGTTTGCCAGCTCTACAACACCTGGGAGAGAGAATAGAGAGACTTGCTCTGGTCACATTTAATTTTGTCTGATGTTCTTTCATTCCGGGCAATGTCCTGTTTCCTATTTTATGATAATCTTAAAAATCACATACCTTTTGGTTGGCTTTTCTAGAACTGCGAGAGCAACCCTTAGAGCAGAATCGCTTCAGAGGAGAACAATAGCGACGCCTCTTTACTGGACCTCCACAGAATTCACAGCAGCCCAACACATGAGGATCTACAATTTTGCCAAATTTGACAGGCTTGTCATCCTGGTCATGCAAGAAATCATCTGTTCCTTTGTCTTCAAAAGAAGCTGAAGGAGTTGGTGGCATTTCACTAGCATCTCTCATGGTAACAACTTCATCTGTGGCTCCATTCTCTTCTGTTGTTTGGTCTTCTACTACTTCATTGTTAGCAAGAGAGTCGTCTTCCCTACTCTCACCAATTTCAGTATGTGCTCCCTACAAATGACCAATGGGCTTAACAAAAGCTTTGTGGAAAGTATTCTCCTTCATCAATTACATATAAAGAACATTAAAAGAAATGAAAATCATTAACTCAAGTATCCCATTCATCAAAAGTAAACAGAAAAAAAGAAACAAATCACCAAATGCAAACAATACACTAGAAAAACAATCAAAACTATTTCACAGTTGTTTCAACAGATGAAATAGAAAATTTGATACTGCTGCTAAAATAAAGAAAAGCAAGTCAAGTGTAAAACCACCCTTGGATAAACACTGCATTTTAGAGTAGAAATAATAATAAAAACCACCTCCAATAAAGACTGCAGCATGACATGGCATTAATTCAAGTAATAGACTCGAAAAGCACACAGTGATCATTGCTTCGATTGCAGTTGAAAATTTTGAGTGAATCAGACACAAATTTGTTTTAATGTACCAGTTCTGATGTCAAGAAAGCATATCTGACTTACCATCTTTATGCACTTTATGCATTACAGTAGTATTAATATGCAAATCATGAAATTGAGAATAGAAAAAATGTTTTTTAGTTTGTCATTCTCCTTACTGTCAACCATACAGTTCTTATAATGTTAGTTCAGAGAATTTCGTATTGGATCAACTAATTATCCCCAAATTGATATATTTCTTTATTCTCATCACTTGTCTGCTCGATATTGTATTGATACTGTCGGGAGAAATTCTATCTTGGTCACTTATGGGAATTAAAGGGTTAATCTAATAAATGAGGTATACCAATTCTCTCTACTTATCAAGTAAATCTAGAGATGTACATATTAACATATATACATAAACTATTTAGTTTCATTAGGAAAAAGTTTTATGAATTTTTTACAGCTGGATATAAATGATTTACTTTCACCACAACTTACATTTGTATCACAATCTGGCTGATTCACTTCCACATCATCTCCCAATGGGTCAGAATCCAAAGATAAGATAACTGATGCAGTAGAAAGAGAGTTGTTCATATGTCCAACTGAATTCTCTATTAATGGAGACACAGTTGAGCCACCAGATGGCAGTGCTTCTAAGGTTTGCTGATCATTTCCTGTATTCATTGCAACTGTGTCCAATGTTACACCAATCAAATGATCTTCCTGATCATTCTCAGGTGTAGGATCAGTATCCATCATCTGCCTAAAACAACAATCAAAACTGAGACATTTTAACTTGAAATCCAAATGAAGCAGACTACAAATGTTTGTTTGCTAATCACCCTTTTTTCTGACAATACTTACCAAAATAAATGATTTTGTAACTCCATGGGGTAGTAACTACACATTAGGGAGCATAAGCGCATTAAATGTTTTTTTTAGATGGCGACAGCAGCTAAAAGTTAAAAGTTCTCCTTCCTGGAGCCTAGTACACCTTTTTGGTCAGCAAAAGTTGGTTGGCATGAAAGCACACCAGAATTACTAGTTAAAATCTTCTTCTGTTTGCCATTTAAGTCTCAAAAAATGTTCCCTTAATTTCTCTATTTTTAATCTGCTTAACATTAAGAACCAAGCCTTGCAACTTCCACAACATATTGTAAAATATCCCTAAAAATATATCAGTCAGATGGAATATGATCAGGCATCAGATTAAAGGGAATTGTACATGAGTATATAATGCTACATTAAAAGTGAAATTCCTGATTGTGAACAAACAATATTGACAGTACTACATATAAGATTGTAAGGCCCCATGACCCTTATGTTTCAGTTTGTTTTAAATAATTTAGTTTATAAGACATTTTCTACAAATAAAATTCTTTTGTAATTATATTGGAAATGCACAGAATAAGTGCAACACTCCATGATACTTAAGCAATACAATTTCCAAAGTTATGTTCATTGACCATGCAAATCACTGCATGAGGGAAATTATGTTCACAATATCCCTAATTTTGTGTTTCATCACAGTCTACTGGGTTTGCAAATTTTATTCACAAAGAACTGTTATCAGAGATATTGAGCCTTCAACTTTAGGGACTGAGAAATTAAGGTATTGCAGATGCCATAAACCCATAATCTGAAGTTGTAATCCACAACTCAAGCATAGAGCATTTTCAGTTTCAAAAGTGAAGCATTTCATATGATACAGACAGTATCCCCTTTGGGAAAGAATTATAATGAAAGAGTGTTTGTTCTTTCTTTTCAGTGATTTATTGATAAATTGATAAGCAATCCTGGTAAGGCAAAGCCAACACACAAAATGGCTCAGAGGTAGATATATTAAAGACAAATACTAAGTCATAATTTTGCAATTTCTCTGATCCATTGAAACAAATCTGTCATTAATCCAACTTGTGACATGCTTCAGTAATTTATCAGTTTCTCTTCCAATGGGGATTTTATAGCAAAATTTGAAATTTGACAAATACTTGTAAAATCCTTCTTTTGGCCCTGGTATTTGCAGATCAAGAAAATAATTTATCAGAACTACATCCATACCATAACCATAAATATTCCAAGCATGAAAACAAATCTCATTAAAATCTAACTTAGCAAAAAAGGTCCTTTTAAAAGCCCAAACTCTCTTTGGTTAGTAACACTTTCCATTCAAATATGTTCCCATTTCATGCTTTTAGTAAGCACGGGAAAACCTAGACTTTAACCCAGCTGTTTAATTTTTTGTCCAGGCTATTTTATTTGACACTTATGCTTTAGAGAAAAGAAGGGCATTGTTTGCTGATTTCATTTCCTGCCCTAAAGGTGGTTTGCTGCCATTTTGTTTCCTCCTGCTTCAAACTTTGCCTCTGGTATTCAAAACATAACCTTAAACTCCTGCCCTCAAAATGTAAATATGTAACTATCTATTGAAAAAAAATATATATTATTGAAAACTTCTTAGCAATCACTGTTACATTGTTCTGTCTGTAGCAAAAACATTCTAAATGAATACAGTCACAGCAAATTTGATAGCATAAATCTAACTTCTTACTGTAGTCAGTAGAACTACCCCTCTAAATCTTAACAATTATTTTGTTTATAAATCTAAAATACTGCACTTTAAACTAAAAAAAAAGTAATTTAGCATGAAGTTTTACACAAAAACCTATACACTCAGAAAAAACAGCATAGATTACATAATCAGTTTCTTCATCTAATTTGATCCCTGAGCAGCAACCAGCTAATTTCAGCAGGAAGGTTCTTCAGTTAATTCCTAGCAGGCAATTACAGAAATTCATGGTTCTAGATATAAATAACATCTCAACACTTGCAAAGATTTGATATAAGTAAAGCTGTGAAATTATTTACAGTCAAAAAGACTACAATTAAACTGATGTCTTACTAAAACATGATTCTATTAATCTCTTCCAGGAAATATCTTTACAGATGTGCAAAACTCTCTGAAAGCAAGATGCCCCTTTCCATAACATTATGAAAATATAATTGATAGCCATCATTTTTAATACATAACAAATGCTGTTCTATAATAAACCCTTTCACACCCAAGATCTGATAAGAAAATCTCCCAGCTATTTGCTACACAATTTTTATCGTGTTGGTTCTAAGAATTTGGTATTAGATCAACTAATACCTGTCTGCTTGTGTTGTATTGATATTGTATGAAGAAATGCTCTCTTGGTCACTCATGGAAGTTAAAGGATTAAGAACTGATCATTATTTTTCCTGTTCCAAACTGAAAAAAAATTATGAACCTTAGCAATTTGAAATAATATTTGTAAAGTCATATTCTTTTAAAAAAAATTTTGGGAGCTTTATGTCACTTGAAATGAACAGATGATTTTGATGCAAATTAGAATGTTTCTGAAAAAATTGAGATTACAAAATGTTCATATGTTAATGCAAGTCTTTCATATAAACTACAAATCAGCATATTACTTCATCTGCAGAACTTGTCAATTTAGAGTTAGAAAATGTTGACACATCATAGCACAATGACAGGAAATTGTTAATATTTATACTAACTACAGAAAAAGAGGGTGTTTTCAACAAAAAGTGGGAGTATGGCAGACACTATCAATCATTTTTTTAATGAGGAAATATCCAGAGCAGTAAGTATTCAGTGTGAAAAACATTATCTGTTGACTTAACAGTATGATTGTTTGTATTACCAATTGCCTTCAAGGAGCAGCTTGCCTACTAGAGAAAAAAAAATTTATATTTTCAATTCAGCCAACTTAAATGTTGTGTTTTAAGATGAAATGAAATAGAATTTTTAGTGATAAAAATTTACTGCTAATAATTGTCAAAAGTAACTAAAAGTATGTGCAATTGTGTTCTGGCTAGAAACAGAAACTGTTATCATTATTTCTTGGATATGGTATCTGCTTAATGTACAGGTAATCTTTGAGAGTAAAAAATTCCATTTATTCAAAAAGACAGACTAGAATAGAATTTGGCAAATATACGCTTGTAACATAATTTCAACTTTTTAAAACGCTTGCCTGTATTTCAGAGTGGAGTACCTATTCACAATTTACACCTTTCCCGTAAAGATATCATCGGAAAACATCATAGCTCGCTGCTAAGGCGAAGTTTATGTAAAACCTATTTCAGTGAAATCCAAGATGACACCTTTCAGGTCGCGTCATTTGAGACTTAAACCCAAAAATAGCGATTTTCATGAAAAAATATTCTAAAAAGGTTTTGTCGCAGAAGAAACACGCTAATACTTAAACCCCGAACAATAAAACACTAACTTGAGCTATGAATTAGACGGACAATCTGCTTGGAACAACCCCTATGAATATTAATTACTTCAGGAAATCTAGTTAAGAAGAAGCCTATATACCTTTCGAAACATCGTAGCGTGATCCTACGCGAGAAATACGCTCTTCGGGGAGACAGACAGATGACGGCAATTATTTTTAAGTCTGGGATAATTTTGAAATTAATACGACGGTAGTTTTAGCGTAAAACAATTCGCTGCGGCGAGTTGCAAATTTATTCACTCTTACGTGCTCAGTCGAGCGAAGACTTCGAAAACACGCGTTGAAAATGTGCCACTTACGGCGTCAAATTAGAAGCCGAACAATGTTCGTTTCGGCGAAACTTATAACCGTTTACCGATGAACGCGCACAGTAATTTGCATCAATAATCCATCCATTTTCAAGCCTCTCAGTCTGAAATGCATTTATTCTTTTGAAGCTAATACAGGCAAATTTGCTCTCGCAAGACAAGTCATGAAACACAATACGATGTGCAAATAAGCTCTTGGGCGCACATGAATGTGAAGTCGGTGACATGTTACAGCAGTAGAATCACACCGTTAGCATTTGGCCGAATTTTAGTAAGGCAGTGGTAGTTTGTTAATTTTGAGTTGGAAAAGTATTATCCTTGGCTTTGGTCTTCTCAATTTTGACGATTCCCTTCATATTTAATGTAATCGTTCATTTTCGATTTTAGCAATATGCGCGCCCGGATTATGTCTGATGAGCCGACATATAAAACGCTCTGTTAATTGTGGTTATTTTACTACGCTTTCAGAAATAACTCTCGATCCTGTTCCTAAAATTGCTGCAAGTTGTGTAGAATTACAGGCAAAAGGGGCACGACTACACTTCTCATTGGGTCCAGGGCAATCAATATGATGGAATTCGCAAGCCCGTTTCGTCACGTTTCCATCTCAGTTAACTCAAAAATGGGCGATTAAATCTGCGTTTAAAAAGACCTCCTTAAAAGTCCTAAATACATCCGCAGTTATTCCATGGTATCAGTATTAAACTTCACACAATAAAGATGCTAAATTTACGAGTTTGTTTGCCAATTTCAACGCGCTGAGGTTCGCCAGCGAATGACTTGGTCGTCACGTTGTCTTCAAAGTCGCCTCTCGGGTGACAGACACATTGGCCAACCAGCCATCTTTGCAAAATCCGCACCATAGTTTCACAAATTATAAGCTAGCGCCCGCGCAGAACACGAACTATATATAACCAAGACCTTCACCGAAAAATAAAGAATATAAACTACAGTCCAGGATTTACCTTAAGCAACCTTGTTCCGCGAGAGCGGGCCAACTTTAGTAGACAAAAAACACTCCGTCTTATTTTGCTTTCGCAGTAGGACTTCTGCCCAGTACGCGTGCGCACACAATAATCGACGATATTGAAGAAAGATTCATGCGAATGGCGTCGCGTCTGACAGAGATTTACATTACAAAACGCATCGCAAAAGCGACAGATCACTGCTGATTCCTTTCCAGTCAACCAATTCGAAAATATTCCTATATTAAAATCAAACGCTGAGACCGTCCTTCAGAGGGGAGACCAAAAATTCCGCTCTCTCTTGCAGTTTGGCGAGGCAGACAAATTATCATCAACAAAACCGCGACAAGGAAATTTGATACAACAATACCGGCCAAGTTTTCATTTGGGAATTTAAGCGGAAATGCCTCGTCAAATCCGCCGCAGTTACTGGAGGGTGCAAAACCTTGTTGTCGTTCCCAAAATATTATTTTTGAAAGATTCGGTTTCTTAAATTTGAAACACCATATTTCATTTCGTTGAATGAAGCTTCGTTTCACTCCATTTGGAACTTGGCCATTGAGACGGGTCTGGTTTAACTCTTCGAGATGTTGTCTTAATTAAACATGGATCAATTTAAAATCAGTATGTTAACCTCTGAGAACGCATTCTTTTTTTTAGGTGAAAATTATTTGAAGAAATCTGCTCTGACGATGAAAAAAAAGAGAGAAGTTGGTGAAATAATATTATAATTAGTTACAATGTTTTTCGTTATTTTTTCGCAATCATTTTTTTTCCTTTCACATGTCAACCTGGTGATGATACTTCGAGAATGCTAGGCAACCCTCATTTATCGCTGGAATCGTGTACGACCGGAAGCAGCAAATCACTTCTGTTCGGGCGGTATTTGGCGTCTAACAGAAAAGTTTCGCCAGTTTATAGAGAGGGTTTTTTTCAGATGGTGCTAAAGAGTTGTAGCTCGACTCAGTTCATAGCATTCTGGTGGATCGCGAATAGGGTTTCATTGATCAAATTCGCCCACTTTAAGGTATTTAATGAAACATCTATTTTTAACTTTATTTATTCGGGACTTCCATGGCCTTAAAGCGAGAAAAATATTAGACGTGGAAATTTTGTCACAAATCTTAATGTCATTTCTGTTTCAATCAACAAAACTTCTACGAAGAGTTTGATAGGATGGCAACCAAAACATTTGCAAGTACCTGGTCGCGATTCGCCAGTCACAATTCGCTAAAAAACTGTATTCATGAATAATTAAGCGTTAAAGACTGGATGTCTAAAACTAAACTTAGTACCTGAAATCCACTTGAATACGTGAATACAAGCCAGAACTACTGGCCGTGACAAAGGAGAGCGATTATTCCCGTTGGCCTCTAAACACCCGAAGCAATCTGTCTATTACGAGTCACACTCTTTAAAACCCTCCGTCTCTTCTGATGGATCGCTAGACAAAACAAACTTCTAATAATTCGGTTCTGTGAATCGTTCTGAACGAACCAAATTCTTGCGGCGCCATTTTATCCCAAGATCTCAACCCTTATTCTTAAGAAAGGTCACTTTCTTAGCCAATCACAAGCGGCTGGGCAAAATGCACGTGAGGGACATCTGTCAAATAACTTCTTTTTGACCGCGCGCAAAATGAGCGATAGCAATTTCAAAAGAAAAAAAAAAGACCCGAACTGAATAAAAAATTATTATGTTTTACAATTCAAAAACCTTTATACTCCTACGAAAAGAGTAAACTTAATTTAGAAAATAAATTAAGCGAGTGAACTTCCCACTAAATATCTTTGAAAAATGAACTTGATAATTTTCTCCGTTTTGTTTACATTTATGCTGTCAAGTAAGTACAACCTACCGTTGCTTTTTCTCCTGCGATCAAAACGGAACTTGAAGGTTACAGTTTACAATATCTTCTAAAGGATTACTGTTCAATATAATAATACTGACCAAGAAAAATTATTAAGCTAAGAATAGAAAATAAATCCGATGAAAATCGAGCATAAGAAATGAAAAAGTGTTATTAAGCGAAGGGAGGCATTTTATTTTCGTTATTTACGTAGTGTAGTGTGTGTAATAAATGCGCTATGTTTTACTACGCAAATGCTATTTTGAAAATTTAAGTTCGGGTTCAACGAATTTTGACCTGGGCATCATAACAAACAAGACAAATGTATTCCTATTTTTATTTATGTCTTTGCGGCTTTTAAGCCGTTTTACTGTAAACACCAACTTTCAGCTACTCTGCATTTAAACTTAAGATAATTGTTGAATGTTAAATATGCGTCTTTAAATACAATCATTAGAACTGTATACTCACAATTTCCATATATGTTGCCACATATCGGTATCGGACATCGAAAGTGAATTTTTGAATTTTTATCTGTGACGTGGTCAAACTTCAATTGAGTTCACGGTTTATCAGTGTAAAATTCTTATTGGCAATACCGAATAGTTTTTACGAGCTCGAGCTATAGAGAAAGTTATTGCATCCACCAACGGAACGCACTACAGAAATTTTTTACTTCTAATTTATACACGATACTGCAAGAGATCTAGATTTTAGAGTCTTTGGCAGACACGTCACAGAATAATCTGGAGCAATAAGAAATTATCAAATGTCCTCTCGTGTGCGAAGTAGGCGGCGATTTCAAACAACCTGTCTGGAAATTAATTAAATCCACCCTTACTATGAAGCTCATAACGAGGGGAAAAAAAAAACAGAAAAACAAAGCGTCTGGACTGCGAGTTTTCCTTCGAAATACTCGATCTTCCCATGGCCAGGTGATTTACAATCCGATGATTTCAGGCTCATCTCTGGCCTACGTGTAGCCGTACCCTCCCCCCCCCCCCCCCCCCCCAAGGTGAAACGGAAACTGTTCCCCCGCCTCTATTTTACCTTGGCGGGGGGAGGGTGCAGCTACACGTTGGCTAGCTGATCTACTTCTGAAAAAACATCAATCCAGAAGCAACTGGCTGATTACCGTGCAGCAAAATTTCTTCTAAACCGGAAGTCGAAATTAAAGGAATAAGCGAGCGAAGACAGATGACTATTTTCACTTCTGGGTTTTACGTTTTTGTTTTTCAATATGACAATCGAAGGAAAAAATTGATTTCATGATATCTGCACGGTTATGATTGTTACTCATTTGAAGAATGAAACCTTAATTGATTAAAACGGATTGAAAATGCTAGGTTGTAAAGTTCAATTTACGCCGTTGATTCCTCAAGATATACCCCGTGACCGTGACACTCGTGTCAAGTATGCTTGGCTGGCTATTTTATGGGAGATCTAGCGATGGAGCGGGTGGGGAAGGCAGCTGCATGCGGCGCGAGACAGGGGGCGAAAACGAAAGATTTAGGAGGAAGAAAAAAAATAAAAAGGAGCTCTGTGGCTCGTTTTCACGGCCCCGTCAGCTTTGCTTTCTCGGAGCACCAAATTAACCGCCAGCTCTGCAAAATGGCTGGAATGGCTGATCATGAACTGTTTTAAGTAGTTAGGTATTTAACTTTGGAAGCAAATTTTTACAAAATATGAACTGCTTATCATTTGTACAGCTACCCCATGGTGAAGCTGAAGGAAGAGAACTCCCATACAGTTTCAATTCTTCTCCGACAGCGTTTCACGAAAGAGTCATGAAAACTTTCGTTCGGTTGATACATATTTGTATATTGGTACTTCTACCGTAAGGCGCAGAGAAACCGTAAAATCCCTTTTTTGACCTTTCACCCTTTACGTTGGTATTCATATTCTTCACACTGTTCCCTTTAAATTTCCGACAATCAAGACCTTCCTAAATTAGTGATCATTTCCTTTATTCTCATGACCTTACTGTTTGATTTAAGAGTGATACCTTAGGGAGAAATTAAAAGTCAGTCACTCTTAGGACCTCTTAGGGGGTTAAAGGGTTTAGGTCGAAAAACTCATGTAAATAGTAAAACAAAATACAAAAATCGGAGTGGTCTCGCTCACTTATCTGGTTTTGACTTCCTGTTGGAAAGTTATTTTACTCAAACCATGTTGTTGTCACCCTGGCTTAATTTTTTTCACGATCTGAATTGGGCCAGAAATCCACGCACTGTGTGCGTCACCAACTCCCCCGTTATTTTATTTCGTCGCTGTCTCATCACTGCTAGATCTCTGATCACTAACTGACAGCCTGAAACAGGCGGAAACTCTCAGAATCCCTCGCCTTAAAATAATGAATTGTAGCAAGTCACTTCACTAGAATTTTTACAGTACTTCTGAGTGGCCTGTTGGAAATGTTTAAATCATATTTCTACGCAAATATTTTCCTTTCTAAGATATTTTTTTTTGTTTCAAAGGTATTAAGACAAACTATGTTTATACGAAAAAAAGATGAATAAGCGACAACAGCAGGTCTTAAAACTTTATTCTAGAAGGTGACCATCAAGAGGGGAGGAACACTAATAATGATTTTTTTGCCGACCTAAATTACAAACAAAATACGCAACAAAACAACAACAACATGAAATCTAAACATAAAAAGAGACAAAGAAAAAAAATATTAATCATTGCCCTTGTGACTCTTCTGGCAGAGCTTTGGGAAGCAAAACCCAGTAGAAATGGCCCAAAAGCATCACATAAGACCCTCGATGAAAATTATCACGACGGATTTTCAAACAGTGTTCTTTTCGTTCGCTATATCTTGTACCTAGAGCTGTTGGTTGCTGAGATATGAATTTCTAAGCTTAAGGCTTTTGGGGTGAATCCTGAATCCTGGCGGACGAACAATCAAGAAAAAAAATGTTTTGCAGATTTTCGATGGATACTTAGGGACCGTGTGGAAGACGGAAGGGGGG